TTTCAATTCCTGAGAAAATAGTTTACTAGTAATAAGCCTCCAGAGTGACCTAAGAAGATAAAAATTTAACTAAGAAAAAAGCAGAATGTTCAGAAACAACTTTCAGGGTGGCAAAAAGAGCAGCATTGAACTCTAAGTGATAAACATGGAGTAAAAAATTTCAGTTTGATGGATAATTTACTTTAAAAAATACACATAGGCAGGCACTGGTGGCTCATGCCTGTAATCCTAGCTGATCAGGAGGCTGAGATCTAAGGATCTCAAATCAAAGCCAGCCTGGACAGGAAAGTCCTTGAGACGCTTACCTCCAATGAACTTAAAAAAAAAAAAAAAAGTAAGATGTGGAGCAAATTGTAGAGCTCTATCCTTGAGCAAAAAAGCTCTGAAACAGTAACCCAAGCCCTGAGTTCAAGGCCCAGGACTGGCACAACACACACAGACATACAGACACACGGACAAATATACACACAAATAAAATCCATGAAAGATTTTGGGACCTAAATCTTGTACTTGCTTAGACTTGATGCAAACCCTAAGGAAATTATCACACAAACTGAGATGCAGCACATGGCTAAGCAATGATCTGACACTGTCTGCATCTTACCATAGTAGGTGAAATAAGACCTCTTACTAAGGCCAGCCAGTGAGTGAGGCTCTTTGCTGATACAGTGGACAAGATCAACATGCCTAGTGGTTTTCTTAAACTTTCTCGAGAAGCTGAACTATGTTGAATCAACTAGGCCACCTAACTGCTCCTGCACAATGGAAATAACAAAAGCCTCCAGGACAGAGAGCCAGGACAGCAGCTATTTCATTGCAAAGGCATATGTGCTCCTTCTTTAAAAACAGCCGTATGCTGGGAGCCACGATCAGGAATAGGCAGATGAGATCTGAGGATCATACTTCAAAGCCTGCCTGGGCAGGCAAGTCCATGAGATTCTTTATCTCCAATAAACCAGCAAAACGCTGGAAGAAGTGGAGTTGTAAGTCAAGTAGTAGAGCGCCAACCTAGAGAGAAAAAGCTAAGGGACAGAGCTAGGCACTGGTGGCTCATGCCTGTAATCCTAGATACTCAGGAGGCTATGATCTGAGAATCATGGTTTGAAGCCAGCCTGGGCAGGAAAAGTCTGTGAGACTCTTACCTCCAACTAACCACCTGAAAACTGGAAGTGGAGCTGTGGCACAAAGTGGTAGAGCACTAGCCTTGAGCTAAAAAACTCAGGGACAGTGCCTAGGCCTTAAGTTCAAGCCCCAGGACCAACACACACACACACACACACACGCACGCACGCACGCACGCACGCACGCACGCACGCACGCACGCACAAAGGGACAGTGCCCAGGCTCTGAGTACTGGCACCAAAAATAAAAACTAGCCTCACATTTCCATAAGGAAACCTTGGTCTTGATAGTTGTGTTCCAAAAGGCAAGATACTGGAGGTATTATGGCCTAGGAGAGTGTTGGCATTAAAGCATTTACAAGGTTCAGGCATAAAGGATTTCAACTAACTAGTTAACATCAGAGTAAAATTTTCTTGAAGAGCACCATGTAACCCATAGTTCTCCAAATTCCATTTTTTTACCCAAAGTGACCTAGATGAGTATCTGGGATTCATTTGTATACCACATAAGAACAAAGCTTTTGCAATTCTGCTTGAGTCTGAAATCAAAATGTTTCTGAAAGTGTTGGATTTGCCAATGGGCTCTAAGATGTGTGCAGGACAATGCTCTTTAACAAGCATCACTTGATTTTGTGTTTATTATATTGCCAAACTTAATGAAACTGTTGAAAAATTATTTCCCTGTGAAAATATCACAAAGACATTCATTAAGATTATATTATTTCAAAAACTCAGACATTTTTCTTCTGTTTGGACCAGACTTTCAAATGTAGTTCACCATATTACCCAACTGTTTTCAAAATCAAAACAGGTCCCCCAGGAAGAAAAACAGTACAAATGTAATCAGCACACAAAATCAATGCTGGGCCTAACTCAAACATCGATGTTGTTCTGACCATCAAGACAAGAACAAGAAAGTGTACACACCCAACAGTCACTTGAAACAAGTGGGCACCCAAGTGGATATATCATGTGAAGACATCCAAGAATGTTGTAAGGGAGTTGAAACCTCACTTGACATTCAAGGTAGGACTCAGATCCAGCAAGGTTAAACACTTGCGCAGGTACAGATCTCACCAACCCAAGGCTCCTAACCTTACTCTCCACTTGCTTGCCACCACAGATGAGCCATCATGGGCCAAAAAGTCCTTCATGTTCTTTTAGAACTCTAGAGTCCTACAGACTTAGAACTGTATTCGTTATGCTTAGTGTGATATTCATTGCAAAGTCACAGTACCACTTCCATATAAAGAATACCCCAAAACTCTGAAGCAGTTCTGCATTTGTAACACTTAAATCAACAAAGTCCCCCCTTTTGACAGGAAAGAAACCAGAGCAGCCAATTAGGACTAGTTAATACACATACACCTGACACAAATACTGTAAATGAACTCTAGTCCTTCTATAACAGTTACCTCGTTTCTACTACAACTTCCCAAACCAGTTACTACTCCTTTTAACAAGGAAAATGAAACCAATCTGATGTCAATTACATATTACCTTGTAAATCAGAACCAAATTTGTAATTAAGGCTTTACAAGCATAGCAATACCAAAAATTACTTAAGTAACTACAAAAAATAACGATGTGTATATGCATGCCTTAGGTAGAAGGGTTTCAGGCCCTGGCACAAATGAGTAGTATTGTTTTTCCAACAGCAACGATCTCACAAATGTAACAGTCACTTTACGAGACCAGAGATTGTGTTTGGGGCCAAATAACCTCATCTGACATCTTCATACAAATCCCTTTCTTAAATCAAAAAGTAGACCACACAACTACAGTCTTTCAAAGGAAATTCCGGTATGAAAAAGTCATCTATTGTTTACTTGGTATATATCTGTGCCAGAAAGCTCAAAATGCTCATTTTAAAGGAACCTGGCCAGGCCCGATTTTAGAATCCTCAGGCCACCAAGCAGGAAAATCCAGTGTCAAATTCCTGAGACTGAAGTTTTTCTTCCCTTTTAGGACTGGAAATACTGGAGTTTTGAAACTCTGCAAACAGAACCATATCTGCAACACTGAGGGACCGGCTGTCACAGGCAGGGCAGGGAGGTGCAAGGGGAGGAGGCTGAGGCCCGCAGCCAGGACTGCAGAGTGAGAAGGGAAGCCCGGCTGCAGTGTGGCCGGGAACCTGGGGAGCCCCGGAGAAGGAGCCACTACAACAGGCATCTCGCTCCTCTACGCATCCAAACCACAACCACGTCATAGGCCCACAGCAGAGCTTCGCGCCCACCCTTGAAGGTGGCACTACAGAGCCTCCTAGGAAACATAGGCATTCCATTGAAGACTCAGGGAATCTAGGGGCCTGCACCAGCGCAGAGCTGCTACACAGCCCCTAGTGTGTGAGGGAGAGTGAATGGGGCAGAATTGCAACAAGGGCCAGGTAAGAAGGGATGAAGCAGAAAGGACAGAAAACAGTGGCCTGGCCTCAGGAAAAAGGAAATGCACCAGACGGGTGAGGTCTGGACCAGGGGGAAAGCAAGAACAGGCCATGGAGCCGCTCCCTCCAAGCCAGGCTGGAGGAATTCGGGGCTGTAGGAAAGAAAGGGTGGAGGCTGCTAGACAGAAGCGTGGGGGCGAGTCGGGGAGATAAGCGAGGGCAGGACTAAGTGGAAATGAGAGGCGGGGCTTAGGGGAAAGAGTGGGCGGGGCCGGAGGGGGAAGAAGGCCGGGGGCGGGAAGCCAGAAAGAGGACGGAGGGGAGGGTGGGCTGGAGATGGGGATCCAAGAGGGATGAAATAAGGGAACAAGTACATGAGTGGGGAGGAGAGGGTGGGAGTAAAAGTGAGAGCAGGCTGGGGACGAGGGAAGAAAGACATAAAGAAGGTGGGAAGGTGGTGGGTGAGAAGAGGGGGCAGGGACAAGGGAAAAGCGAGGGGGCGGAGTGGAGCAAGGGGTGGGGCCGAGGGAGGAAGCCGGTGGGGGAGAGCAGGGGAGAATACGGGGGGTGAGGAGGGGTGGAAGGAGAAAAAAAAAGGGGCACTGAGTGGGCGGGGCCAGGGAGAAACCAGGAACAGGTGTGGGGGAGGGGGGACGAATCAGGGGAGGGGAGGGAACAGGAGGGAAGCCAGGGACCAGAGAAGCCCGGAACACGAAGGGGGGGGAATAGGTAAGTGAAGCCAAGGGGCGTGGTCTCGAGGCCGGGGGCAGAAGAGGCCTTGAGCAGGTGGGGGGGGGGACCAACAGGGGCATGGCCTCGAGGCCGGGGGCGGGGCCTGGAGAAGCCAAGCCAGGGGCAGTTAGGAGGGACCCGGGGGGAGGGTGAAGCCGGAGGGTATTGCCTAGATGCCTAGGGGTGGCTTGATGTCGGGGGGGTGGGGCCAGGAGAAGCCAGAGACAGGAATTGGGGGGGGAGGACAAGCAAGAGAGTGAAGTCAGGAGCGAGGCCTCGGTGACAGAGGTGGGGTCGGGAGAAGCCGGGGCCGGGGGGGCGGGGGGGGGGGGAAAGCGAGGCTAGGGGGGCGTTGCCTTGACAGGGAGGGGGGTATGGGGGGAAGGAGGGAGCAGGACTGGGAGAAGCCACAGGCAGGAATGGGGGGGGGAGCAAACGAGTGAAGCCAGGGGGCGTGGTCTCGGTGCGGGGGCGTGGCCTGGGGACGGAGGGGGGGGCCGGGAGAAGCTAGGGGCAGGTGTGGGGGAGAGGGAGGGAAGCGCGGGGGGGGGGGTGAAGGGGAGCATCCAGGAGGCGGGGCGCCGGGGGCGGGGCCGGAGGGAGAAGCGAGGGGCTCTCGCCGAGGGGGTGGAGGGGGGTGACGAGGTCCGGGGACCGGGGCGGCGTGGGGAAGGGCGACATCCGAGGGCGCCCTGCGGGGGGGATGCCCGGGCTGCGCGGAGAGGGGGCGCCGGGGCGGCGGGTGGGCCTGGGTCCGGCCTTACCTGTCAGGCGGATCTTGATGCTGGAGCCGTTCCTGCGCGTCCCGGGGTTCGACATCTCCCGCCAACGTTCCGGCAACCGTGGATCCAGCGCCGCCGCCGCCGCCGCCCCCCGGCCCGGCCCGGCCCAGCCCCGCCGGCGCCGCCGCCTCAAGGTTACGGCTCCAGGCTGGGCGCCGGGGTCCGAGCCGGGACACGAACTCCGCGGCCCAGGCGTCGGGGCGGCCGACAGGGTGGTCGAGCCGGGGGTGTGTGTGGGAGGGGAGGTTCCGTGCTCGGCCCCACACCCCGAGCCCTTGGTCCTGCCAGACGAGCCCGGTCCGCAGCTCCCGCTGCTGCTGCCGCCGCCGCCGCCTTCTCCTCCTCCTCCTCCTCCTCCTCCTCCTCGTCGTCCTCCGCCTCCTTAGAGCCGGACGCCCGCCGCCCTCGCCGCTTCCGCCGCGCTGCCGCCTCCCGGAGCCGCACGCGCGCCCGCCGCCGCGCCGGCCCGGCCCTGCGCGCCCCCGAGCCTGCGTGCGCGTGCGCCCCGGCACGTCGGGGCGGGGCGCGCCTCTGCGTCACCCGTCACCCGCGGGCGCGTGGGGCCCTGAGCCGTGCAGCCGCCCGGGAGAGGCGGCAAAAGTCAGGCCTGTGGGTGCCCGCCGAGCGCAGGAGGGCTTCGGTCCGGCTCGCCATCGCGTCTGCATGGTTTTTTGTTTGTTTTGTCTGACTTTGTATTGTTCTGATGGGGTCTTGTACTTTTTGCCCAGCTGATCTTGAACCTGGATCTTCCTCCCTCCACCTCCTGAGTTGCTGCTGGGAGTACGGGCGTGAGCCACCGTGTTTTTTTATGGAATTCGTAATAGAACTCACAAGGAGACATGAATGGAGACCGGGTTGTTGGTGCAAATAAAAGACAAAGGAAAGTTATGAAACTGGCCGGTTGTCTAGAATATGGATTTAAGTTATTTTGTTAAAAAGAAATTGCCCTGGAAGTTGAAAAGGGAAAGCTGCAGTTTAGGCACCAGGGGCTCACACCTGAAAGCCTAGCTGCTTAGAAGGCTGAAACCTGGAGGTACTTGGTTCGAGGCCAGCTACGGCAGAAGTCTTTGAGACTCTTATCTCCAATTAACCGGCCAAAAAACAAAGGGCAAGCTGCAGGTGTGGCTCAAGTGGTTGAGCACCAGCAAAACAAGCCAGAGTGAAGCCCTGATTTCAAATCCTAGTACCAGCAAAGTTCTTGCCTTGGCTTCTCACTCAGAAGATTCCTAGGGTTTTGGTAGGGCCTATAAATCAGGACTAATCTTCAGGCTGTACACAAAAAGAAAGTCTGTATGTGCTGTAGACCAAAGCCTCAAGGATGACAGAGTCCTATAGGGCCGGGCATGATGGTACATGGCTGGCTACTCAGCAAGCCAGAGGTAGGAGGAGTGAAGTCTGAGGCCACCCTTGGCAAAAAATATTGAGATCCTCTCCAAGAAATAAAGTGCAAAGCTGGGCACTGGTGGCTCACACCTGTAATCCTAGCTACTCAGGAGGCTGAGATCTGAGGATCACCGTTCAAAGCCAGCCTGGGCAGGAAAGACCATGAGACTTTTATCTCCAATAAACCACTAGAAAACCAGAAGTGGCACTGTGGCTCAAGTGGTAGAGCACTAGCTTTGAGCTGAATTGCTGAGGGACAGTGCCCAGGCCCAGAGTTCAAGCCCCACAACTGACAAAAAATAATAACGAAAGTACAAAAGAGTTGGGGGTGAGATTCAAGTGGTAGAGCACCTGCCTCTTGAGCAAAAGCCCTGAGTTCAATCAAACCCAGTACCAAAGGAGAGCACCTGTAATCTACTTTTCATTCCTCCTTGTTCTGACTTCTTGGTCACCCAAACATTTTTACTTAAACCTAGAGAGTAATAAACTATTTTGCTTTTTAAAATGCATTTCCAGCCCACAAAATACATAGCAAACTTAATTCCAACACACTCAAGAACCATGAGAGATCCCAGAGCAATGACTTCCCTGACAACTTCCAGAGTAGGGCTGTCAGACAGACATAAACTTGATGGGCTGATGTGCTCTCCTACTTGCTACCCTGAGACCCTTTAAATCTCTGATGTCCAACTTCCTCATCTATAAACCAGAGATTGACACCAACTCAGGCTTATAAGTAGTACAAATACAGATATTCAGCTGGGCATGGTGGCATACACCTGTAATTCTAGCACTTGAGAGGTTGAGGCAGGAAGATCATGAGTCTAGAGTACAGCGTGAGCTAGATACCGAGACCCTGCCTTCAAAACACAACAAAACACAAGGCTGAGGAAGTAGAAAGGCCCTGGCTTCTCCATTCCCTAGCACAGAGAGATGGTGAGAGAAAGAAGGAGCAGGGAGAGGGAGGAAGGAAGGGAGAGAGGATATCCATGAAAGTACTTTACAAAGAAATCATTTAAGTGATAGTAAATGATAGTTCTTGATCTCAGGAGATTTGTACCTCAACTGTCACCAGAGAAAATGTTTCCTCCATAGAATTTCTCCACTGAAAGCAGTGACTGACCAGGATTCCCTTTCCTCTCTCTCTCCATTGGGAAACAAAAACAAAGAAGTTAAAGGTTTTCTAAATAGTCCAGTTCCTCAAGGACAAGTGAATTAGCAATTTATGAATCACTCCATGTGAACCAGACTGTTTTCTTTGGAGGAGAGCAGCTCTGATAAGGAAACGCCTTTTCCTCCCAGGTAACTCCCAGACCCTTTATCAGACTCGTACTGTGTGAGGCCGGGTTTGGTGATGCTCTACACCAAGCTGTGATCCTAGCTGCTTGGGAGACCAGAGGTGGGAGGATCATGGCGTGACGTCAGCATTGGGCAAAAGAGTGAGCTCCTGCCAGAAAGATAACTAAAGCAAAAAGGGTTTGGGAGTGTGACTCAAGTGGTAGAGAACCTGCCTATCAAGTGTTTGAACTCAAACCCCAGTACTGATTCAAAAAAAAAAACCCAACTTTCATTGTATATTGTAAGTAGTGTAATTCAGAAATACAGGTTTAGAATCCAAAGGTCAGATGACATTATGTAATGTATCAGGTTTCTGATATTTTTTTCATTACTTAAAAAAAAAATCTATGAATGAGAAATTGGGGATTAGTCAACTCTGTCTCAACTAGAAGCCAGGAGTTAGTTGAAAAGTATTCTAGAATTTTCTATATGTAAAATGTCACATATATGATTTATAAATAGTACATAAACTATTTCCCCTTCCTTTTTTAAACAGTCTCCCTATATAGCCCAAACTGGCCTGAAACTTCACTGTCCGCCTGCCTCAGTCTCCCAAACTCTAATGTTACAGGTATGTACCACTAGCTCTAGCTCACCCTGGGACTCGAACTCAGGGACCTGTACTCTCCCTACCTTAGCTTTTTCACTCAAGGCTAACATTCTAACTTGAACCATACCTCTGCCTCCAGCTTTTTTGCTAGTAAAATAAACCTAAGCCTCTTTTGGACTGGCCTGCCTGAGCTGGCCTCAAACTGCGATCCTCACATTGCAGCCTCCACAGAAGCTAGGATAACAGGCGTGCCCAGCTTCACCCTTTTATTCCTTGATTCACCAGATCAAGATTCTCCCATTATGAAAGAGTCTGTAATTAAGTCTTCCCCTGTGTGTCCATTTTTGAAGATACTATTTTCCCATATCTTGGCTTTTATTAGTTTACATTAGTTACACAAGTTGGGGGGGGGGCTTTTTCCAAATATGTTTACAATGTGTTCCTCCCCCCCACACACACACACACACTTCCTAAAGGTTTCATTGTTCTATCTTCATATATGCAAACAAACTACTTCATTTATTCTCTCATCCTTGTCGGCCCAACCCCCTTCTGCTAGTACTCACCCCCAAAGCCTGCTTCTCCTTCCCTGCCCCCAACCCACTGCTGGTCACCAGCTCTCACAGAAGGGCTTTGAGCCATTTTCTTAGAGCTGTATTTCTAAATTGTTCACTTCTTCCTTTCCCCTTCCAAGAAGTGGCACTCGTGTTCTGGGTCTACCTGCAAATGCAAGTGTGTACACAGGTAGGCACACATACGTGGGGATGGTTGTGTGTGTTAAGAAACTTTGTTGACTACCATGTTTCCACCAATGTTGGGCAAGGACACGGGTGCAGGACCCTCTGCCTGCTCCTCCACTCTGCCCTCCATCAGTGTTCGGCTAGACTTGGGCACCCTGATGGAGGATAGCAGAGACCATGGCTCTTCCGCGCTACAGGACTGAGGGGCAGCCACGGGCAAGGTCTGTTGTTCCAGGAGTTTGCTCACCCAGGGCTAGATGATCACCACTCACTCCTTCCTTCCTGTCATTGTTACCCTGCCAGTCACCCCAAAAGGCTAAGTCCAGGCCCAAGGGCATCCAGCCAGAAGGTGACTAACAGCCTGGATGTATACCCAGGCCAAGTCCTAAAAGCAAATTGCTGCTTTTTTTAAAACCTTGCTAGACCAGCTGGTGATCAGTAACTCCCAACTACAAAAGTCCCTTTGTGTCACCACCAGAATAAAGAATAGTTAAGTAAGTAAGAAGCAAGAGGCTAACTTTCAGTGGAGTCAAAGTTAGACCACATGGGCAGAGGGACTAAACTTCAAGAGTTTGCAACCGTTTTGACTTTAAAAATTTGCATAATGGTGTCTCATAACCCTAGCTTCTGGGGAGGCAGAGATGGGAAGGATTGCAGTTTGAGGCCAGCCCAAGCAAAAGAAAAGGCAGGGGGAACCCCTCCCCCATCTCAATCAAAAGCTAGGCACCCACCGTGGTGCACACCATCTCCACTGTGATAGAGGAACGTAAGACTTTTTTTTTTTTCCTGGACAAAAAGTGAGATCCCATCTCAAAAATAAATAGCACAGAAAAGGACTAGAGGTGTGGCTCAGTATTAAAGAATGTCTGCCTAGCAAGTATGAGGCTCTGAGTTCAAACCCCTGGACTGAAAAAAGAAACCTGTCATAGATATAATTTGTAAACAGCCTTCCAACTTTAATCTACAAATGGGAGAAATGATGCTTTTTAAATGTTCAGAAAGCAGCCAAATGTGGTGGCAAATGCCTCTAATTCCAGAGGTAAATGCCTCTAATTCTCTGCCGGGAGACAGAGATACGAGAATCACAACCAGAGGCTGTCCTGGGCAACAACAGTGCAAGACCCTCTCTAAAAAGCATGGTAAAAGCAAAAGGACTGGAGGGCGTGGTTCAAGTGGTAGAGCACTTGCCTAGAGAGTGAGGCCCTAGTTAACAGGGAAAAAAAAGTAGAAAAAGAATGTGATCCTAGGGGCTGAGAAGGTGGCTCAGTGGTTAAAGCACTTGCCTTGCATGCCTGAGGCCCTGGGTTCAATTCCTCAGCACCACATAAGCAAAAAGAAAAAAGTTGGAAGTGGCACTGTGGCTCAAGTGGTAGAGCGCTAGCCTTGAGCTGAAGAGCTGAGGGAAAGCGCCCAGGCCCAGAGTTCAGGCCCCACGACCGGACCCAAAAAAAAAAAAAAGAATGTGATCCAAATCAAATTAAAAATATGTGTGGAATTTGGCCAGGAAGCAGAGAACAGGAAGTCACCGGGTCCTCACATCGCTTCCCGGTGTGAGAATGTCACAGGCTGGCCACAAACGGCTCGGACCCTTTGGGGGACTTTTCAGATCCCAAACCATACTAAGAGGTGAAAGCACTGAACATTTTATTAAGTTTTAAAAAGTTTTCCATCTGTGACACTCATAGATATTGGGGTATTGCCTCTCAAAGAAGTTAGCCTAGAATACCTGGGTTTCAGTCTCAATTCAGAGACTGATATTAGGACCTCCAGCTCTCAGTCCTGGCAGAGGATGGAGAAAATGATGTTTTGTTTTTTTTCTTCAGGGAAGACAGGTACCAGGGGCCCAGCCTGTTACACCTCGTTTGCTGCCAGTGGCCAGGAGCCCCCTCTGAGGACAGAGCCTGGAAATACTTCAAGTGCAGTTTTGTCTGTGGTGAAACATACATCATAAAGATCTCCCACCTTCACCATTTGAAAGAAGAGTTCCGTGGCATTAAGAACATTCACATGCTGGACACAGTAGCTCACACCTGTAATCCCAGCTGCTTGGGAGGCAGAGATCGAGAGCATCACGGCTCGACAGCAGCCTGGGCAAAAAGTTAACAAGACTTCATTTTAATTAATAAGTCAGACAAGGTATCTGATGTGGATGAGGCATGGAGAGGAAGATCATGCTGCAAGGCTGGACCTGGGCAAAATCTCAAGAACCTATCTGAAAAATAACTAAAGCCTAAGGGGCTGGGGATGTGGCTCAAGTGGTAGAACACCTGCCCAACTAAACCTCTTTTCTTTACACATACATAACAAAATAAAATCAATGGACAAATAAAGAGTGCCTAATTGGAACCCCAAGTCCAAACCACAAGGCATTACTTCATACTCATGAGGACAATGACTATCCAAAACGCTAGAAAATACCAAGTGCTGGTCAGGAAACCTTCAACACTGCTGTAGCAATGAAAAGACACATTTACTGTGAAAAACTATATGGAAATTCTTCAAAAGCTAAAAAAACAGATACCAGCCTGGTACCAGTGGCTCACACTTGTAATCCTAGCTACTCAGGAGGCTGAGCCAGAAGTATCCGGGTTCAAGGCCAGCCTGGGTAAGAAAAGTGAGACTTCATCTCTAAAATAACCAGACAAGGCCCAACTGCAAAAAACCAGGCTGGAGGTGTGGCCATGCGTAAGCACACTGAACAAGAGTGAAGCCCTAAGTACAAACCCTAGCACCAGGAAACAAAAGAAAACAAAACCAAAAACAGAACACCTTATGACCCACCAATTCTACTTGCGAATTGAAAGCTGGAGCTCTAATAGATTATTTGTTCAGTCATGTTCATAGCAGTGTTATTCAGAATACTCAAATAGAAGCAACCTGAGTCCATTGATGAATGCATTCTAAACAAGATATGGTATATATATCTATATTCGATGGAATATTCTGTTTTGGAAAAAAAAAAAAAAAAAGAATGAAGAGCCGGGCAGGGTAGTACATGCCTACAAGCCCAGCACCTTGGATAAGGGGAAATCAGGTTAATCAGGGTTCGACAGCTCATGCAAAAAGTGAGCAGACCCCCATTTCAACAGACAATCTACGTGTAGTGGCCCACATCTGTTGTCTCGTCTACTTAGCAGGAGTAGGGGAGAAAATTGTAGTTTGAGCCCAGCCTTAGGGAAAAACCCATCCGACACTATCCAAAATTAACTAAAGCAAAAAGAGCTGGAGATTATGGTTCAGCAGCGGATTGCCTAGCAAGTGTGAGACCCAGAGTTCCAACTCTGGTATTGCCAACAACAATAAATAATCAAACTCTGACACAAGCTTTAACTTGGGTGAACTGGAGTAGATAAATGCCAGTCATAGGGAGAAGGATGGTGAATTCCACACAGAGACCTATGACCAGCCAAGTCCACAGGGACACATGGGAGAACAAGAAAAAAAAAGAAAACATTTTTAGAGGTCCTGGGGTTTTGAACTCAGGGACTCAGGTTTGCCGGGCCAGTGCTCCCTGTCTCACCCTATCCTCTCCGAAAGGTGGCAAGGAAAGCATGATTTTGCCAGAAATGACTCAACGCCTGTCATCCTAGTCCACTCAGGAGGCTGAGATCTTAAGGATCGAGGTTCGAAGCCAGCCTGAGCAGGGAAATCTGTAAGACTTATCTCCATTTCCAAAAAAATGCCAGAAAGTGGAGCTGTGGCTCAAGTGGTAGAGTGCCAACCTTGAGCACACACACTCAGGGACAGCCTCTAGGCCCTGAGTTCAAGCCCCAAGACTGACGTATACATGTACACAAGACAAGTTGCACAGTACTCACCTCCTCCTCCCCAGTAGGGTGGAGTAGGGGGGTGCAGGGTCCTGGGGCTCACTCACCTCATTGAAGTGTTTGTCCAAGATGGTCAGTGCACTCTGGCCCACGCGGTGGTTGTTGTGCATTAGCAGCGCCTCAATGCGGTCCATGCCGCCCAGCTCTTCCATCAGGAGCCGCAGGCGTTCCTGCTGCTGCGTCTTTTTGGCTGCCTAAGGCGGGGGGGGGGGGGGGCGCTCCTGAGACCCTCAGCACCCTGGAGGGGGGACCCTCTACCCAGTTTTCATGTCACCTCAGGGAACCAAACCCAGGACCCCCAGGGTGACTGGAAATGGCACCACCTTCTCCCTGCCACATACTTGTGATATACCGAATACATAATATGATATATAGATTACATAATGCCCTCTGCAGAACACAGCAATTACATGCATATAAATCCATGCACATTCATACAAAACATGTATGTATAGCGCATGCTTCTTTGCTATTCACTTATGCCTATTTTCATTGCACAAAATAGAGTATTTCGAGACTACATGGGTATTTATACCAAATACACACATACACAATTTTTTTCTGTCATACTGTGGTTTGAACTCAAAATTTCATGCTTGCCAGGTAAGTGCTCTACACCCTGAGCCATGTGTTCCCAGCCTTTTTGTTTGCCAGATGGGATTTTGCCCAGGCCATCCTTAGACCATGATCGATCTCCACCTCCCAAACTGCTGGAATTATATGCATATACTACCACACTTGGTCTTAGGATGATGTCTTTTTTTTAGCTAAATACATTTTTATGACTAGTTTGTAAAAATGGTCTTCTAATTCATGGGAAGTTGTGTTTTGGGGGCTTTGTTTTTAACTGTATTTTTTTTCCTTTTCTTCTTTGGTACTGGGGATCCAACCCCAGGACTTGCAAGGCAGGTACTATATCCTAGCCCTGGAAGTTTTTATTTTTGGTGCCAGTCCTGGGTCTTGAACTGTCTCTGAGTTTCTTTTACTCAAGGCTAGTATTCTACCACTTGAATCAAACCTCCACTTCTGGCTTTTTAGGCAGTTCAGTGGAGAGCTCAGCAGAGTTTCCTGCCTGGGCTTCAAAATGCAGTCCTCACATCTCATCTCCTGAATAGCTAGGTGCCCAGTGTGGAAGTCATTTTAAATATGGAATTTCAAGTAACGTGGATGATCAGTCCTGTGCCCCCTGGAGCCTCAGGAGAGAGATCAGGAGCCCCTGCATCACAGAAGCCACCGCATGGCAAAGAACAAAGTCCTTGGAGCAAACAACCTGAGTTGTTTTGCTTACAACATCCCTCACTGTGTTGTGGGTGGGGAGTGGACTCAGAAGGTCTTTTCATCTCTGAGACCATTAAGGTGACAAATTAATAGTTACAGTGTAAAAAATATGGGAGTTGAAAATGGAACTTGGTGGTCAAGTACTTACAAGGCTCTGGGTTCTAGCCCAGCACTAGAAAAACCTAGTGAGCCATCAGAGAGGAAAGTAATAAGAAACATAGAGGCCAGGTTTGGAAGGTGTCCCAAATATAATAAATGACACTTTGCTGGCCAGGAGAATAACATTCCCAAAGAAGGGACAGTAAAGACAAAAGGTTGGAGAAACAAATGCTGCATTTTATGACAGGAGGGAAATGGGCCAAATGGCTTATTTGGAGGTGGGGAAAGACAGACAGAAAGGAGAAGAAAAAAAGTACTTTGCCATCATTCTCCTGAAGAGCCCTCCCCCTTTTTTTTGGTCGGTTGTGGGGCTTGAACTCTGGGCCTGGGCGCTGTCCCTTAGCTCTTCAGCTCAAGACAAGTGCTCTACCACTTGAGCCACAGTGTCACTTCCCGTTTTCTGAGTGGTTTACTGCAGATTAAGAGTCTCACGGACTTTCCTGCCCTGGCTGGCTTTGAACCACGATCCTCAGATCTCAGCCTCCTGAGTAGCTAGGATTACAGACGTGAGCCACTGGCATCTGGCTGAAGAGCCCTTTTATTACAGTGTTATGAGCAGCAGCACAAAAATATGCTATTGGTCAAATTAAACATACTCGAAGTGCCTTTGTTTTGACAGGGCTTGCCTGTCTAAATCTTGATAGCCTCAAGCCCTATATGAAGGTCCAAAGTCAGTTACTGGCTGGAGCAAAGAAATGGGAACAAAGGTAGGAGGGTTGCAATCTGAGGCTGGCACTGAGCAAAAGTGTGAGACCCTACCTGAAAACTAACTAATGTAAAAAGAGCTAGAGGTATGCCTCAAGTGGTAGAATCTGCCTAGAAAGCACGAGGCCCTGAGTTCAAATGCTAGTACTACCAAAAGGAAGGAAGGAAGGAGATACAGATTTGCCCTTTTTTTTTTTTTGCAAACTTTTAGAACATGATCCTCCCACCTATGATCTCTTCTATTAATTAATTAGGATGACAGGCACCCATACTATTAGGCTGAGATGAGCTTTCTGTAACTTTTGCCCAGTCTGGCCTCCAATCACAATCCTCTAGATCTCTATCTCCTGAGTAGCTGGGATTCCAATCACAGGTGTGAGCCACAGTGCTTGCACCCCACCCCCACCCCAGGTGACACCTTAACTAAACCTTATGCATCACCAACCCTGAAGCAGAACATACTAGCTAAGCCAGCCCTAGATTCCTAACTCCAGAAACACAAATATTTGTGCTAAGACACTACTGAGGCTGGCTGTGGTAGTGCATAGCTACCCTGGAGGCAGAGGTAGGAATGTGATAGGAGGCCCAACCCAGGCAAAGTTAGTATGAGACCCTTTCTGCAGAAGGATTGGGGAGGGAGGTATGGCTTAGGAGTTCAATTGATGGGAATTCATGATGCAGCAATATAGAAGTAACTCAAACAGTACTTAACTAGTGGGTTTAATTTTGGTATATGTGAGAGCTAAGACTTTTCTAGAATCACGGGTCTGTGCTTTGCAGTCCCTTCCCCACCCTCACAGGCACACAGGTGGATGGAGCACAAGTTTACCACCATCCTCAGGATTTACTGCTGCTAACTTCTTGCCTCTCCCTGGAGCAAGGCTGTTTTAATGGGCCGGCTGCTCACTGGCTTTGCCCCATTTTAAACATTCTGTGCGTTTCTCTACCTTACACAGAACTAATCACTGCCTCCTGTCTGCCAGGCCCTGCAGGCCTCATCATCCAGCATTTCCAGGCCTGAGCTCCCACTACACCCTCTCCTCCAATACCCACACCACTCCCGGTTCACTCCCTCACAGCTCTGCTCAGAGGCCATTCCTATCCTGTCGCAGGTGAAGGCTCCACTTACTCCCTACCTGGACCTGAGATGTTTGCGTGGACAGGTGGGACAGTGAGGGTGAGCTATAATCCTAGCTACTCAGGAGGCTGAGATCAGAGGATCATGGTTTGAAGCCAGCCTAGGCAGGAAAGTCTATGTGGTTGATCTCCAGTTAACCACCAAAAAGGAGGAGGGAAAAAAAAAAGAAGCTGGAAGTGATGCTGTGGCCCACTTTCCAGCCTTGAGCAGAAAAGCTCAGGGACAGTGTGCAGGCCCAGAGTTCAAGCCCCAGGACTGATACAAATAAAAGCCGGGGCCTGGTGGCTCATACCCGTCATCCTAGCTACTCAGGAGGCTGAGATCTGAGGGTTGCAGTTCAAAGCCTGCCCAGGCAGGAAACATCTGTGAGACTCTTATCTCCAATTAACCACCAGCAAAACTGGAAGTGGCGCTGTGGCTCAAGTGGTAGAGCACTAGCCTTGAGCTGAAGAGCTAAGGGACAGCGCCCAGGCCCAGAGTTCAAGTTCCACAACTGACAATAAATGAATAAATAAATTAAAATAAAAGAAGTATTTGAGGTAAGGAAATGGCATAGTCATCCTGGACTTGCCTAGCAAGTGTGAGACTCCCAAATCAATTCCTAGTGCCAACCACCCCCCCCCCAAAAAAAAAACAAATGTAAGCACATGAGAAACTTGTGGGTAGGGAGGGGAAAATTGGGGGAAAGCGAAGGAAGGGGGCCATTGTCCCAAAAAATAAATGTACTCATGACCTGACTTATGAAATGGTAGCCCCCTTGTACAACACCTTACTGGTAAAATTATGTTAAGAAACAAAAGTAAAATAAGAATGTAGACGGGGAGTCGCAGGTGTACACACACCTGGAGGATACAGGCGATGACATCGAGGAGGAGAAGGAGCAGCCGCACGTCGGGGGCCTTGAGCAGATTCACCAGCGGCCCCAAAACACCCGAGTAGACAAGCTGGAACAACTGGTCCACCGAGGCCCCGGTGACGAAGTTAGCCACTGTCCACACTGCCTCCTTCTGGACCCGGAATTCTCCCTGCAGGAACATAATGTTTACATTCTCAGGATCCTGGAAAAACGGAAGGTTTGCTTTCCAGGCAGACTGGCGACAGCCAGCACTGGGTCACTTCTGCAGAATGTCCTGGCTGCCTGACTTTTTTTTTTTCTTTTTTTCTTTTTTTTTTTGTCGGTCGTGGGGCTTGAACTCTGGGCCTGGGCGCTGTCCCTCAGCTCTTCAGCTCAAGGCGAGCGCTCTACCACTTGAGCTACAGCGCCACTTCCGGTTTTCTGGTGGTTTATTGGAGATAGGAGTCTCACGGTCTCTCCTGCCCGGGCTGGCTTTGAACCGAGATCCTCAGATCTCAGCCTCCTGAGTAGCTAGGATTACAGGCGTGAGCCACCAGCGCCCGGCTTTTTTTTTTCTTTCAAGGACAGGGAATTGAACTCAAGAATCTTGTGCTTGCTAGGCATATGCTCCAGCATTTGAGCCACACTCCCAGCTGTGTTTTGCTTTAGTTATTTTTCACACAGGGTCTAGAGCTTTTGTGTGGGGGGCACAATCTGCCTGTCTATGCTTCCTTGTGTCTGGAACCACAGGTGTGGACCACCTGTGTGTTCTCACTTTCTAACCAGGCTGGCCTCAAGCTGTGATCCCCCCATTCCTTGCATTTGTCCCTGCCTCTAGTTCTGGATCAGGAAATGGCGCCTATATAAAGCCATGAAACCCTCAGGCAAGGAGGCAGGGAGGCTAAGGTAGCTTCTTCCCTAGGTCTGTCTGCAGAGACAGAAACAGTCCAGCCACAAACATAAACTAGGAATTACACTCGGACTTTTCCGATGGCAGCGGCTTACAGCTACACTTCTCATCTTTCTCACCCAATAAAAAGTTGGACAAGTTCCATGACAGGCACACAGATGTCATCCAGGGGACAGAGTCAGGCCAGAGGTAACAACAAGACTTTAAATACTGCTCAATGAATCCTTCATGTGCAGCAAGAGTGTTTGGCCCCGGAGATATGGGCATAATTTATCATGGACCTTCTGTTCCTGGGCAGAGAGCTCGTCTCGTTTTATGATTGGGGAAAGTTACCCTCCATGTGAAATAAAATCAAATATGCAAGTTCTGAAGTCAGGCATGATGGTACAAACCTGTAATCCCAGCTATCAGGAAATTAAAGTGGAAGGATCTTACGTTCAAGGCTAGTGTTGGCTACATTAGTGAGACCAGGGGCATGAGGCCCTAAGTTCAAACCTTGGTCCTCAGGAAAAAAAATATGCATTTCCTCAACCATAGGAGGCAGGCTAGGAGTACCAAGAGATGAGAAGAGGCCATTGGATTGCATACGTGCCTCAATTTCCCTCCCTGATGGTCTTCCCACCACAGCCCAATTGCACGCAGGTAGTATAATCACAAGTCATTCATTAAAAGGTGGCAAAAGGAAACTCAGACAGTAGGAATTGCTCTTAAGGAAAGACCAAGTAAAAAAGAAGGAAGCTTCTGCATTTCTACATTTATATTTAAAATCTCTCCCTCGGGCTGGGAAGGTGGCTCAGTGGTAGAGTGCTTGCCTTGCATGCATGAGGCCCTGGGTTCAATTCCTCAGTACCACATAAGCAGAAAAAGTCAGAAGTGGTGCTGTGGCTCAAGTGGTAGAGCGCTAGCCTTGAGCTGAAGAGCTGAGGGACAGTACCCAGGCCCAGAGTTCAGGCCCCACTACCAAAATAAAATAAAATAAAATAAAATCTCTCCCTCTTCAAATTGGGATTTAACCTAAGGTCTCAGGCTTACTGGCCAGACACTCTACCATTTGAACCACACCAGCAGTCCTTTTATTTTTTTGCACAGTCTCACATTTTCTGGAGCCAAGGGATCCCTATCCATTGACATAAGCTTGTTTTGTCTGGTGACAAAACAGAATGGCCAGAACTAGGCTTCCCTTTCTAGCCTGCAATGACCGGGAGTCCTGAGCCTCTGGGAGATGTCTCAGGCTGGAGGGCTACGTGTGCTACTTACATCTCTCAGCATCCTCACCAAAGCAGGCAGGACATCACTTGCGATCAGCTGCTGGATGTGGTGGCGGGGCCCGGCGGCCACGTTGCTCAGGGCCCACATGGCCTCCTTCTGGATGGAGGATTTGGGGTGCTTCAGGAGCTGGGGCAGCACCTTCAGCACTCCCGCATCTATGGCCATCTGCGTCTGCTCGTCCGTTCCAGTGACGACGTTGCCCATGGTGCGGAGAGAAGGGGTCTGGAAGAGCCAGGCAAGAGATAAAGCTATCATCATGTGAACCCCATGCCCTCCCAAACATGAAGACTGGACTCACAGGCCCAGGGTCAGCTTGGGAACCATACTCATGACCCTTGTCATGCAACAAATCATGGGTGGCTATTTTCCATCTAGTTTCAGGTTCTTGCTGGCTTTCTATGATAGTGGCTCTATTGGCTAAGGGGCAAGGGACACCTTTAGCAAGGAATGCTGCTGACTTGTGCACACCTGTCATCCCAGCTCTGCGGAAGGAAGGCATTAATAGGAGGATGGTGGTCCAGGCTACTCTGGGCAAAAGCATGAGACCCTATCAAAAATTAAACTAAAGCAGAAAGGGCTGAGAGCATGGCTCAAATGGTAGAGGGCTTTCCTAGCAAGCAAGAGGCTCTGAGTTCAAACCCTGGTAACTAAAGTAAAAAGGAAATGCTGCCACTTGCATTACTTTTCAACTGGGGAAAACGCTAAGCCAGTGACAGTGCAGATCACGTTTGTATTTGGTATTTGTGACTGCTTATTTCTAAGTGGGACATAGGAGAGCCCAATGGCATTGCCCAGTATGCTCACAGACTGCCTCCTAGTGACCCTGAAGGTCTGCAGGATGGCTAATGATTGGACTCAAGGCAGCAAATGCTGTAGAAGACTGACCATGGATTGATCTGAGTTTCTCTGCCCCTGGGACAATGGAGTCTGTTAACCATTCCAGAGTTTTCCTAGCCTATCAGAATTGTACACCTGCTATTCCATGGAGAAGCAGCTCCGCAGGTCAATCACAGCCTTGACAGGGCAGCTTCAACTGGGCCCCCAATACTTCTATAAAAGCTTGTCTGTACATAGACAAGAAAGAACTAAGCAACCCAAAGACAGTGATGGGAAAGGAGGAATGAGAGGGAAACAGGGAACGGCTTACACTAAGCAAAAGGAAAGAAATGTAATCATCACCTGATGTGGAAGAAATAATTTGTCAAAGCTCATAGAACTCACAAACTTTATAGACCATGATAATGGCAATTTGCCTTGTGAGGGCTAAAATGGGTTTGTGACTTTAAGTGTCATTATTCCACATTACTGTGAAATGTGTGAAATTTATGTAATCACCTAATCTCAATTTTTAAAAAAAAAAGTGAGAGAAGGGATGGGTTAGGAATGCTGGGTGACAATGTTGTCAGACACCTTATATTCATATACTGTTTTGTAGAATGAGAAGTTCTTTGTACAACTACTTAAAAATAATAAAAATATGTAAAAAAAAAAGCATTCAAATTTAAAAGTAATTGTGTCTTGTGTAATGAGTAATGACATAAAAAGGCTGACACAGTGCATAGTAAAAGGAAGTTGTTAAAAGTGGGATACATTAAGGAGTAAGTGGGTTTTCTTAAGGAGATTGCTTTAAATATTAAAAATCAAAAACTTAATGTAGTAGTGAAAGTAACATGTATTCAGTGTAGTGTTGTTTTGTTAATAAAGTGAGATGTCTTACTAAAAAAAAGAGGTTGTCTGTAAAAACTGGGCATGGTGGCACATGCCTGTAATTCCAGTTACATGAGAAGCAGAAATAACAGGATCTCAGTTCCGAGGCCAGCCAAGGCAAAAGTTAGTGAAACAGTATCTCGAAAACAAACTGGAAGGATGAGGGATGTCTCTAATCCCAGCTCCTCAAGAGGTGGAGGCAGAAAGACTGAGGCTGGCCAAGGCAAAAGCTGGAGACTCTATGCAAACAACAAACAACAGATCTGGGGATGTGGCTCAAGTGGTAGAACACTTAACAAGTGGTAGGCCACCTGGGTAATAGGACACTAACTCAGAGGAGATGACCACTACTTGACCATACACCAAGCCAGCACCCGCAACTCAGAACAGTAAGTACTTGTTTAAAGTGTCCATAATGCTTTTACCTGCATCTAGGTAATCTGAGAAGCCACTGGGGAGAGAAGAGGAAATCTCCCCTTATATTTACCTAAGAAATCCAAATTATACAACGAGAAGGCAAGAATGCAAGGACGGTTCCGGACTGGCAGGATTCTAAGCCATTTTTCACTTGGTTCATTTTTCATTTTTCACTTGGTTCATTTTTTTTTTCTAGTTATCAGATTAAAGAAGAGAAAGCTCCTGGAACAGCCAGATCAAAAGGGATTCCAGCCTTCCTTTGGCTAGAGAGCAGCAAGAAGCAGAGCAATGTCCACAGGAAACTGAGCTCCAGGTAAAGGATTTGAACTGGCTGAGAAGAAATAGGGTACAAGGCAGGGAGAAGATAGGGTGACATTTACCAAGACATTGAGCTCTGGGACGGTCATGAGTTCCACCAGCCGGGGCAGGACTCCCATGCGGACCACCTGTTCAATGCGTTCATTGTGGCCATCGGTGAGATAGGACAGGGCCCAGCAGGTGTCTGACAGGATCTCATTGTCGAGGTGGCGCAGGAGGAGAGTGAGATGGGGCAGCATCAGCATCACGGCCTCCTTGCTGGGATATGGGTTCTTGTTACGGCACAGGTTGGACAAGGTCCACGTGAGGTTGCGCAGAAAGCCAATCTGTAACCAGGCCCAAGGGGAAAGGATGTAAATGGCAGCATGCCCTCCCTATGTGTCTCAGATCCATGTGACAGACCAAGCCCCAGCCAAAGAGTTTGTGCATCGTCTTTGAGGCTGCTGTGCAGATGAAGGATTCAAATGCTACCTGGAGGGTCCTTCAGAGAGAACAGTCCTTCAAAATGTCCTCTCCCATATTACTCGCTTGATGACTTAATTTCATTTTCCTCAACAAAAATCTCAAGTAGGAATTCCTCACTCCTTCTGCCATTCTAGGTCTCTGCCTCTGTTTCCCTCCTTCCATCCATCTTTCCCTCTTTCCTTCCATCCTTTTTCTTCCCCTCCTTTTCTCCTTTCTCTCCTTCCTTTCTCTGGCAATTGAGCTCAGAGTCTCACTTGCTAAGTCAAATACTCTTCTTTTTTGGGTCCGGTTGTGGGGCCTGAACTCTTGGGTCTGGGCACTGTCCCTCAGCTCTTCAGCTCAAGGCTAGCGCTCTACCACTTGAGCCACAGCGCCACTTCTGGCTTTTTTTTTTTTCTGCTTATGTGGTGCTGAGGACTCGAACCCAGGGCCTCAAGCATGCAAGGCAAGCGTTGTACCACTGAGCCACCTTCCCAGCCCTCAAATACTCTTAATTGAGCCACATCCCACTGCTTTTGCTTTTAGTTTTTAGGTCGTCTTGTCTTCAGACAGGGTCTCATACTTTTGCCTGAACAGGCCGTGGACTATAAACCGCCTATTTGCCCCGCCCCTTGTAGCTGAGATCATAGTCATGAGTCACCATACCTGGCTAGAACCCAGTTTCTAAACCACAAAACTTCTACACATAATTTCCTCTCTTGTTACCACCCGAATGAACTTTGACCCTAGGCCTCAAATCTAGCCCCTAATAACTATGATCAAAACTGGAGATTATCTGTCTGGGCCTCCCGAATAGAAGATGGTCAAGTGGTAGAGTGCTTTCCTGCCAAGTATGAGGCTCAGAGCTCAAATCTCAGCATTGCAGCAAAATAGGAAAAAAAAAAAACAAAACTGTAACGGACCTCTGCTAGTTACCTCAGAAACTTGTGCTATTGGTCCCTAGCGACAAATCTAACTTAGTCTTCAGCCAAAATACGCTGAGTCCCCGAGCCCTAACAGAAAGGTCTAGCCTGCAGCCCATAGGCCAGCTATGATACGGAAGTCCTTTCCCCTGCTTCTCACCCAGAAATGGTCAGCTTGCTGGGTGTGGCGGTTTAAAGACACTCACTGGTATGTCTGACGTCATAAGGTCCAGAAGGTGTGGGATGGCATTGCTGGAGATAACGAGGTCTCTGAATTCTGGGCCATCGCCTACAAATAGATCAAAACATGACATCCAAAGGGAGAACAAAGCAAATTTTGTAATGGGTGTCTGACTTCAAAAGTTCGTACAAAGGATCAGAGACTACAAGTTTGTCAGGATACTAGGCAAGCCAGGAACCAGATCCTGGCTCTCCCGGGTCTGCTGGATGTACATTCCCAACAGGACAGACAGGTGCCACTCGGCAGCTGGCAGCAGAGGCAGGGGCAGAGGCTTCAGCATGCAGAAATACCTTCCAAACGCAATTCAAAGCAAAACCTTGGGGTGCACAGGGGTTGGGGTGCACAGGGGTTGGCAATCAGCCAGGAAGGGTGATTCAGGTAGGCTCATGATTTTGCCCATCAGATTGAGATCTCTTGTGAAGTTGGGATGGCAGGTTTGTGCCACAACACCCGCCTTATCGAGGGGGTCTGGCTAAGTTTTTACCCAGGCTGACCTGGAACTATGATTCTCCTATCTTCACCTCCTGTCTAGCTGGTATTACAGGAGTGAGCCACTAGGGCTGGCTCCTCAACTTCTATCTTCAGCCATTAAAGGAAGACTTATCATGTTTATACCATATCATGTTTATACCATATTATGTTTATACCACCCAGTCTTGACTGCTTCTTACTGCATCCAGCAAGATGAGAGGTCACCAGGCGCCAGTGGCTCATGCCTGTAATCCTAGCTACTCAGGAGGCTGAGATCTGAGGATCGTGGTTCAAAGTCAGCCTGGGTAGAAAAGTCCGTGAGATTCTTATCTCCAATTAACCACTATAAAACCGGAAGTGGCACTGTGGCTCGAGGTAGAGCGCTCGCCTTGAGCTGAAGAGCGCAGGGACAGCACCCAAGCCCAGAGTTCAATCCCCACAACAACAACAACAAAGATGAGAGGTAATATCTGTAATGCATGCATCACCTCTGCAAGCATTGTTTTTTGTTGTTTGTGTGTGTGTGTGTCTTGGTGCCTGAACTCTGGGCCTGGGCACTGTCCCTCAGCTCCTCAGCTCAAGGCTAGCACTCTTCCACTTGAGCCACAGTGCCACTTCCATTTTTTTCTGCTTATGTGGTACTGAGGAGTGGAACCCAGGGCCTCATGCATGCAAGGCAAGCACTCTACCACTGAGCCACCTTCCCAGCCCCTCTGCGAGTATTGTTAAAGCCATTAATTTATGTCCTGCTTGCTAGTGTTTGTGCTGGCTCCATGAGAATGGCTTGCTGTTTTTCTGTACTTGAAATTGCTAAGATTTGGCCCATCTTAATTTGCCAAAAACCCTGATGGGAAGCTGGGTGCTAGTGGCTCAGGGGTATAATTCCAGCTGCTCAGTTGAAATTTGAGGATTGTGATTCAAAGCCAGCCCAGACAAACAAATCTCCAAGTCTCTTCAGCTCTAATTAACCAGCAAAAAATCCAGAACTAGAGACATAGCTCACATGATAGTGTTAACTATGAGCAGGGAGAGAAAAAAGCCCAGGCAAGAGCATGAAGCTCTGAGTTCAAGTCCCATTATCACCACACATGCCCCCCCCCACACACATGCACACACACTGAGGGACTCAGTTGAGCTTTTTCCCCCTACAGAACATTTGATTTCAGCCAGAAAACACAGGACTTTCAACCCTTCCACCATTAATTTCCTACCTTGCGGTTTCACAGACCATACAGGGAGTAAAGCACCAAACCCCAAATCCACACAGGGATTTTAAGATTGCTTTTTTGGCCTTTTTTTTTTGGGGGGGGGAGGAGTGGGGAAGAGAATGTCCTGAAGTTCGGACTCAAGACTTCAAACTTGTTCACAAATGCTCTACCTTTGAGCCAGGTGCCCACCCCCTCCCCCTTTTTATTTTCAGAGTCCCTGGCTTTTGCCCAGGATTGACCTTAGAGATCCCCTCCCTCCATCTCCCAAGTAATGAGGATTACAGGGATACCTCACCAGGTCGGGTTTGTGAGATACTTTCTTGATAACTATTTGGGGCTGGGTTGGCCTTGAATTGCATTCCTGTCTCCACCTCCTAAGTAGCTGGAATTACAGGTGTGAGACACCAGGCCTGGCCTAGTTTTAAATTTTACTTTTTTATTTTTTTGCAGTACTAGGGATTGAACCCAGGATCTTATCCATGCTAGATAGGCAGTCTTGCTCTTAAGGGAAACCCAAGGCTGCATTTTTAGGGAGTTTAATACATTTATAATGAGTTTATTACATTTATAAGTTTATAAATGTAATTATCTTTACCTATTTGTACAAAAAGGTTTCAATTCAATGTATCAGTATATGCACAGCACATATTGACCAGTCCAAGGATACATTTTTGAGTATGTTCCCTTAGTGGGCTTTGGGGCTTTCAGGGTTCGGGCTATGTAAGGTAGGGCCTTAACTCCCTCCCCTGCCCCCCTCCTGCATAAGGCAGATTTGTGTTTTGGGGCAGGTGTCCTTTGGAAAACTGTAACTTTAGTATGCTATGCATCGTCTACTTTCAGCTTCTGTTTGTCATCTCTGAACTTAGCTATGATTTTCAAAATAACATCGTCTCTTCCCTAGTGCTTCAAGGGGTGCCCGGGATGTCAAGTGCACCCTACTACCCAAACAAGCTGCTCCAAGGAGAGCGTCTCACCTGCGATGTTGCCGAGGGCCCAGGCAGCCTGCTCGCACACCGTCATGTGGGGGGAGGACAGGAGCTCCACCAGGGACTGGACAGCGCCAGCTTCCACCACGGCACGGGTCTGCTCCGTAGTCCCGGAGGCTACATTGGTCAGAGCCCAGGCAGCCTCTAACTGCAGGTGGGGGTGCAGCGAGGGCTTCAGGAACTCCACCAGCCTGGGAATGAGCCCAGCGTCCACGATCACTTTCAGAGGAGGGTTCTTCTCCTGGGAGAGCATCTTCCTGTGCAGTGAAAAAGGTCAGGTCAGGGAGGGATGAAGACCCTCCTTTCTAGATGCACATAAAGGAACATCTGTCTGATACCTTTGTGATATTATATAGATATAGACACACACTCACATATATATATATATATATATATACACATATACACACATATCTACATACGTATTTATTTATATTGCAGTGCTGGGGACTCACACCAGCAAGCTCAATAGCCACCACTGCCACCAGACCCTGCCCTGCCATAAAGTCCCACCCCTGCCAAACCACACCCCTACATCCAAAGCCTCACCCCCTAATGAACAGATGGGGCAAACCCCTCGGCCAGACTTCCTTCAGAATCTGTTGTTCAGGCTGCAGCACGAGCTCTGCAGCCCTGAAACACAGCAGCAGCATTTCACCTTCAGGTATTATCTATGAGCTACATTCCTGCAGAGGCCAATGTAAATGAAGTCATTCATCTCTGTCAACACATGGCATCTATTAAGCTGCCCTCAAGGACAAGGTAGCCCAGCCATCTGCTTTTGAAGGCAGGAGCCTTTCCCTGAATTTTATGGGTATTTTACCAATCCCAAGATGCCACAGACCACTGGCACACCTTTCTGGTTATAAACTCATCAAGAGCAGCTGTGGGCTTGGCTATACCTGGCTGCCTGGGTGGCCAGGAAACAGAGGATTGGATCTGAGCCATTCACACCTTCGATTATCTCCTCCAGAGTGAGGCTGGCCTGCAAGAATACATACATCTAGGTGAGAGCTCCCTCCAAAAAGGAAGCATAAACATCAATGAGCAGGGTGTCCAGGTGATCAGATAGGCCAGCATGAGCTGCAGGCCTGCTGTGGCATAGGTAATAGGTCCATGGCATAGGACATAGGTCATAGGTCACAGGGAGACACTCCTCACATGTGAGAATTCCTCGTGTAGATTCACCAGAACCTTTTTTTCTTATCCTATGCAATAAGGACATGTTCGTGTATGCAGCAGGAAAAGAAAAAGATAAAAAAAGGAAAGTGAGGACCTCCAAAATTTCCCTCCTCTATGAAAGCAAGAGAAAGCAAACCCAAAGCAGGGCCTAATCTGGTGGCTCATGTCTGTAATCTAGACTACATGGGAAGTGGAGGCAGAAGGATTGAGAGTTTGAGGCCAGCAAATGTAGTGAGATTGTCTCAAGGACAAAAAGGCTGAGAAGGTATTCCAAAGGATAGAGCATGTGCGAAGTTCTTTAGAGAAGGAGGCAGGGAAGGAAGGAAATGACTGAATAGAATCAGAATGGGAAAACAAAACTATGGAACAAAAAAAAAAATCTTTTCCAATAATCCTGAAAATGATCAACACTACAAAACCCACAGGCAGACTTACCAAGAGAAAAAAAGAGAGGAGACCTGAGTTACTAAACTCAAGAATGAAAAGTACAGAAATACCTACTGAGCTTACAGACCTAAAAAACAGTAAAGGAACTATGAACAAATACAACCCAAGAAATGAACCGAAATTTAAGTCCTAGAAAGGTACAGCCACCAAAAGAAAAAACCAGCCGGGTGCTGGTGGCTCACATAATCCTAGCTATTCAGGAGGCTGAGATCTGAGGATCATGAGTAAAAGCCAGCCCAGGCATAAAAAAGTCCAGGACTAGCCGGGCGCTGGTGGCTCACGCCTGTAATCCTAGCTACTCAGGAGGCTGAGATCTGAGGATCATGGTTCAAAGCCAGCCGGGCAGAAGAGACCGTGAGACTCCTATCTCCAATAAACCACCAGAAAACCGGAAGTGGCGCTGTAGCTCAAGTGGTAGAGCGCTCGCCTTGAGCTGAAGAGCTGAGGGACAGCGCCCAGGCCCAGAGTTCAAGCCCCACGGCCGACAAAAAAAAAAAAGTCCAGGACAGAGTCTTATCTCCAATTAACCATCAGAAAACTGGAAGTGGAGCTGTGGCTCAAAGTGGTAGAATGCTAGCCTTGAGTGAAAAAGCTTAGGGACAGCCCAGACCCTGAGTTCAAGTTCCATGACCGACATTTAAAAAAAAAAAAAAAGAAAGCTAGAAGAAACCTATACCTAGAATTTGTACTAAAAAATAAATTTTTTTTAATTTTTTAAAAATTTTTTGGGTCCAGTCGTAGGGCCTGAACTCTGGGCCTGGGCGCTGTCCCTCAGCTCTTCAGCTCAAGGCGAGCGCTCTACCACTTGAGCTACAGCGCCACTTCCGGTTTTCTGGTGGTTTATTGGAGATAGGAGTCTCACGGTCTCTCCTGCCCGGGCTGGCTTTGAACCGCGATCCTCAGAACTCAGCCTCCTGAGTAGCTAGGATTACAGGCGTGAGCCACCAGCGCCCGGCTGTATCTCAATTTTGAATTATATCTTAATTTTTTAAAAAAGGGACCTTTTCGTATGGGGCAAAAATCATGTTTCTTCATTCTGCTTCATTCCTTCCAGAATAGAATACCAAGGCCTACTGAATTTAATGTGACACCTGGCTATCTCTACAGCAGTACAGTGAATGACAACATCCAGTGATTTTCCCGCTAAGTCCTAAACTACACAAATGCCCATTCCCTCCATTTCCGGGTTTAGAGAGAACAAGAAAAATTTCAATCAGAAGTAATCATTTCTAGCCAGGTATGGTGTTGTACACCCCTAATCCCCAATACTCAGGAGGCTAAGACAGGAGAATCACAAATTTGAGGCCAGCCTGGGCTGCCTAAGATGGTCTTGAAGAGGTAAGAAAAACACAAGGGCTAGATATGGTGGTTCATGACTGCAAACATGGCTCCTCAGGAGGTAGAGACAGGAGAATCATTGTAAGTCAGCCTGTGCAAAAGTACACAAGTGCAAGACCCGATCCAAAAAACTACAAAGGAAAAGAACAAGCAGTGTAGCTCAATGGTGATTGCTTTCCTCACACTCCAGGCTAAGTTTGATCCCTAGTAGTAGCACCCAAACAAAGGTAGCAATTTCTCTACCCTCAGTAGAACACAGATCCCAGACTCAGCCATCAAAAAGCCTTAGCCTTCTAACAAAGGCATTTTAGCTCTAACCTTGATCTCTTTACAACGCCCCGCCCCTTCAGTGGCATTGGAGTTTGAATTCAATCTTGCTGCTTGCTTGCTCGCTCATGTTTGGCACTCTACTACCTAAGTCACACCTCCAAGCCTTGCTCTTTGTCGGTCATGGGGCTTGAACTCTGGGCCTGGGCACTGTCCTTGAACTCTTTAGCTCAAGGTGAGCACTCTACCACTTGAGGCACAACGCTACTTCTGGCCCTTTCTGGTGGTTAATTGGAGATAAGAGTCTCATGGACTTTCTTGCCTGGGCAGGCTTTGAACTGTGATCCTCAGATCTCAGCCTCCTGAGTAGCTAGGATTACAGGCGTGAACCACCGGCGGCCAGCCAAGCCCTGCTTTTTTGCTAGTTATTTTGGAGACAAAGTGTAGTGGAGTTCCAGCCTCAAATGATAATCCTCAGATCTTAGCCTCCTGAATAGTTAGGATTACAGCTGTGAGCCACCAGCGCCTGGCTATGTTACTCCCTCTTTAAGAAAGAAATTAAATAAGAAGTCACAAACTGAATCTCTCAAATTTGTCACCCTAGAGAGCCATGTGGAGAAGGGGATCTTTGCACACTACTCTATAGGCTACATGCCTACATACCACTTTGGCTGGAGTTTCAAAAGCCGAATCACAGGACAGGAGAGTAATGTTCCTTCTCTTTAAGGCTTGCTCATCTTTTTTGGCCTTGCGGAGCTCCAAGCTGGCCACCACCCTCTGCTGCCGCAGCACCTAAGGGGAGGAGAGAAACAATTCAGTAAGTCCACCAAAGATGTCATCATACGTGTCTCGAAGCATCTGGCTGCATGTTCATTTGCTTGTTTTTTTGTTTTGTCAGTTGTGAGACTTGAACTCAGGGCCTGGGCACTATCACTGAGTTCAAGGTTAGCATTCTACAACTTTCAGCACCACTTCTGATTTTTGAGTAGTTAATTGGAGATAAGACTTTTCTGTCTGGGCTGGCTTCAAACCATAATCTTCAGATCTCAGCCTCCTGAGTAGCTAGGATTATAGGCATGAGCCACCAGTGCGTTTTTTTAAAAATTATTTTTAAATGTCTGTAAATATTTTTATTAAGATTATTGTTTCAGTTAATAGCATCTCATACATATATTTCATGTTTTTGACAATTCGGCTTTACCTTATTTTTGTTGTTTAGTCCTTTTTATTTTGCATTGGCAAAGTATGAACAAATATGTTTGTTCAAAAGATATTAACATTGATTTTTATCAAGGTAAGGTTGGATCACTTTGCAAAGAAGTTGTAAAATTTGTGGCAAAGAAGATAAGTCAGAACGTCATGGAGTTAGATATCATATATAGTCATATTGTCTTTCCTTTTATCGTTTTGCCTTTCCTATACTTTTTTTTTTGGTCGGCCGTGGGGCTTGAACTCTGGGCCTGGGCGCTGTCCCTCAGCTCTTCAGCTCAAGGCGAGCGAGTGCTCTACCACTTGAGCTACAGCGCCACTTCTGGTTTTGTAGTGGTTTATTGGAGATAGGAGTCTCACGGTCTCTCCTGCCCGGGCTGGCTTTGAACCGCGATCCTCAGATCTCAGCCTCCTGAGTAGCTAGGATTACAGGCATGAGCCACCAGCGCCCGGCTCCTATACTTTTTTTATAAACATTTTTTTATTGTGAAAATACTGTACAGAGGGGTTACAATTACATGGGCAAGATAATGAGTACATTTCTTATCAAGCATTGTAGCGTCTGGAGGCGTTTTTACAGATGCAATTGCCTGAAACTGCTAAGACCAGAGACAAGAAATGTCTCTGAGCTCTCTCCTGCCGTTAAGACCTGACTCCCCTAAGCAATGAATGATTCAGTCTTGGTCCCAAGTAAAGGAAGATCGTGTGCACATTGACAGGCCAGGATTCACACCTGAAGCCCATTCATTCCTGAAGATCACCCTGCTTCCTGGATGGGCCTGAGCCTTCCAACATAGACAGGTAAGAGCGACCCTTCCAGGGACCACCTTAGACCTAGATGCCCCAAGCAGATCACCCAGGCCTTGATCCAGACCCAGATTTCCTGGGGCGATTTAGAACTTTATGGTACTAGGGCTTGAACTCAGAAGACTAGGCTTGTTAGGCGGGTACTCTACCACTAAGCCACACCACCAGTCCATTTGCCTTTCCTTTGTTTTGTAGATAGGGTCTCACCTTTGCCCTGGCTAATCTCGAATCAGGATCAGATCTTTGCCTCCAAAGAAGCTAGGATGAGTGAATCATCAATACTTGGCTCTTTTTTTTTTTTTTTTTTGGTGCTGGTTCTGGGGTTTGAACTCAGGGCCTAGGTGCTGTCCTTGAGCTTCTTTGGCTCAAGGCTAGTGCTCTACCACTTGAGCCACAGCACCACTTGGAAGATTTTTTTTTTCCTTTGGTAGTTTAGTGGAAATAAGAGTCTCACAGATGTTCCTGCCCAGGCTGGCTTTAAACTGTGATCCGTAGATGTGAACCACCAGTGCCTGGATTTTTTTTTTTTTTGCTTGTAGGGTTTGAACTCTGGGCCTGGGCCCTATCCCTGAGCTCTTCAGCTCAAGGCGAGCTCTCTACCACTTGAGCCACAGCACTATTTCCAGTTTTCTGGTGGTTAATTGAAGAGTCTCTTGGGGACTTTCCTGCCCCAACTGGCTTTGAACTGTGATCCTCAGATCTCAGCTTCCTCAGTAGCTAGGATTACAGGTGTGAGCCACTGGTGCCTGGCCCTAATTAAAAAAAAACAAAAACAAAAACCTTTTTCTTTCATCTCTAGACAGCTCACAGACTTGACAGTATTGAGACTCTCAAAGAAATTACTTCAATGTTCCTGATATGTAGTTTTAACTAAAGACTTTGAAATAGTAATTACAATCATGCATTGCTTATCAACAGGGGCACACTGTGAGAAACAGGCTGTTGGCTTATTTTGTCTTGTGCACACATGACAAGATGAAGTTACAAAAAGCAGAAAAGCTTCAGTGTCACAAAGCAATAAAATCTTAGGGGACCAACCACAGAGTAGGTGGTAGCTGAGTTTGGTGGCTCACACTTATAATCCTAGCTACTTGGAAGATAAAGATCAGAAGAACTGAGGTTCAAAGGTAGGCAGAGCAGAAAAGTTCAAAATTCTCTCCTCAAACAATAGCTAGGTGTGGTGGCATAAGTCTGCAATCCCAGCCAGCACAATGGCTGGGTGCCATGGCTCATGGCCATCCCTCCCCCAGGGACACGGGGAAGCAGAAATAGGAGGATCACAGCCCAGGCTTGCCTGGGTATAAAATCAGACCCGATCTTTAAAAATAACCAATGCACGGTCTGGAGATGTGGCCTGGAGTTCAGTCCCTGAACAGAAAGACCAACAGAAAGATTGACTGCTGGCATGAGCTGTGCGAGAGGTTCATACGTATCAGGAACAAATACATCCTGAGGCAAGTGATTTGCTTCTTGCTTGAAAGTGGGGCCATGGTAGTGCCACACAGCGAGGTAGGAACCTGAGGACTATGGTAGCCAAATCACATCTCCTTGTTGAAAGGAGATTTTGCCCCTTTGGCCCCCCTTTGCTAGCCTTTGCTCTGGCTTTGTTCTAAATATTTTCCTTCTTTTCAGACAGGGTGTCACTATGTAGCCCAGGCTGGCCTTGAACTCAAAATTTTCCTTGCTTCAGTCACCAAGTGTACAGCTTCAAACTGGTTCTATCATGCAGTGGTTTTGGCAGCCAGAAACCACGCGTGCTGGAGAGCACTGCGCTAAGAGTCACTTGGCGCCGTGGGGAGGGGGTTCTCCCCCAGACCTAAGCCACCTTTCAAATCCCAGATGTCACCAATCGTATGTGACATGAGCAGCACATACACACTCGTAGGGCATGGCGAGAGCCAGCAGCCCTCAGGCCAGAGTGGCTGAGTGGGAGGAAAAGCCACACACAGAGCGCATGCGCATGCATGCACACATGCACGCACACACACATACACACACACACACACACACACACACACACACACACACACACACACACACACACATCCCTTCCCCTGTTTATCTCAACCATAAGACCAGTCTGGACTTCTCTGATCCAAGTCTGACTTTTTCAAGGCATGCTTGTCTGTCAGCATTTGCAGCCTCTGTAAACCTCCCAGAAACAGCCGCAGGGCTGGGAATGTGGCTTAATGGTAGAGTGCTTGCCTAGCATGCATGAAGCCCTGGGTTCAATTGCTCAATACCACAGAAACAGAAAAAGCCAGAAGTGGCGCTGTGGCTCAAGTGGTAGAGTGCTAGCCTTGAGCAAAAGTAGTTCAGGGACAGTGCCCAGGCCAAGAGTTCAAGCTCAGGACTGGCAAAAAAAAAAAAAAAAGGCAGAAACAGCTGCAGCTCAGTATCTATGCAGCTGGCCCCAGCCCCATTTAGAATTATGACTCATTTGTATTGTTTTGACAGTACTGCAGTTTGAACTCAGGGCCTCACCGTTGCTAGGCAGGTGTTCTACCATTTGTGCCATGCCTCCAGGCCCAGACCTTTCTTTCTGAAATTTTTTTTAATTGAGATTGATTACATAAATTTCACAGTATTAATAGTCCTATCTTAGATAGGGTCTCAGACTTTTGCTCCATCTGGCCTTGGACTTCAGTCTTCCTGCATCTGTGCCCTGGGTAGCTGGAATTATAGGCATTTACCACAGCATCTGATTTTAGTTCCATTTTGTTGATTAAAAAATGTGGTTTCAAGCCAGCACTACTGGCTCAAACACATGTAATCCTAGCTAAAGGATAGTACCTAGTCCCGGAGTTCATGCCCAGTACCAGCACACAAAAAAGGTGTTTTGTTTTTTTAAAGTGGTTTCAAGACTACACAGAAACCCTGATTTGAGTCCAAAATGGTCTGTCTCCTAAGTCTATTCACTTTTTTTTTTATTTCAGTGCTGGGGCTGGAACCCAAGACCTGGTGCATACAACTGAGCTATATCCCTAGACCCCTCAATCCTTTGTTTGGAGACAAAGTCTTGCTATGCCACTGGTCTGGCTTGCAACTGGAGATCCATCCTCCTACCTCAGCCTCCCCAGGGCTGGGATTACAGGCATGCCCCACCACACCTAGTTTGCATCCCACTTTTGATATCTTGCCATCACATGCTTTGCCATGGCCTGGCCCCCATACTCACAGATGCATCTTTGCCTCGGTATTTAAATTTTCTCAGCCTCTCCTCAGGAGCGTCCAAGAGAGGCATGCTCATGGGAGGAAAGGAAACACCTGTAAGTGAACAATCACAAAGATACTTAGTGTTGGAGCTGGGAAGGTGGCTCAGTGGTAGAGCACTTGCCTTGCATGCATGAGGCCCTGGGTTCGATTCCTCAGCACCACATAAGCAGAAAAAAAAAAAGATACTTAGTGTTTAGGGCTTGGGTTACTAGGTGAAAGCTTCTCAGGGCAATCAGCGATGACAGCATGGTGGGAATGCTGAGGGGCCAGTCCTGGGTCACAGAAGAAGGAATCTTTTAAAAGGAAGCTAGGCTGGAACCTGACCATTGATGGCCAAAAGGAAGCTGCACAGAAAACATAAATGTCTCTTTCGTGTGCACATGTGCGTGCCAGTACTGGGACTGAGCACTGTCCCTGAGCTTCTTGGCTCAAGGCTGGTGTTGTAATCCTTAGATCTCAGCCTCCTGAGTAGCTAGGATTGCAGGTGTGAGTCACTGGCACCCAGCCCTCTTCCCTCCCTTTATTCTTATTTTTTTTGTGTGGTGCTGGAGATTGAAATCAGAGAGTCCAGCTTGCTAGCCAAGTGCTCAGTTACTTGATTATACATCAGTGCTTTTTAAACATTTTGTTTTAGAGACAGAATTTTGCTCCCTTTGCAGGCTGAACTCAAACTCTCAATCCTCCTACCTTTGACTTCCAGAGTATTTGGAATTACGTGTACCACCATGCCCAGTCTTCATTTTATTTTTCTTACATTTTAAAGTAACAGATCAATGACTTTTAAAAATGTAAATAGGATTCTTCTTGATTTTGGATTGGATCATAACCAAATAAACTCATAAACTGAAATTTTAAGTGAAAAATCCATTTAAATCCAGGCACTGGTTGCTCTTTGCTTGTAATCCATGCTACGTAGAAGGCGGAGATCCGGATCTCACTTTCAGGCTAGCCTGGGCAGAAAAGTCTGCAGGATTCCATCTCCAACTAACCCAACAAGAAACCAGGCTGGAGGCGTGGGTCAGGCTGTAGAGAACCAGCCAAGCAAGCAAGACAAGGCCCTGAGTTCAAACTCCATATCAGAAAAAGAGAAACATTTAATATACTTAAACATGCTAACATAGCCTCGCTCAACCTTAATAAGCTCAGACAACATAACAGAGTAGCCTACAGTTGAACAAAACTACAAGACTCATGTTATAAAGGTGCTAAATGCCTTATGTAACTTTAGTTATACTGTTTACCCCTGCGACTCACATTGGACAGCATGTCAAGACAGCATCAAATTGAGTATCTCTAGTCTGAGGAAAGATGAAACTTCAGGACTGGGGCTATAGCTCAGCGGTGGAGTGTCTGCCTCACAGCCCCAGCTCTGTTCCATCCCAAGTGGAGGCGGGGAGTGAGACGGGGAAGGAGAGAGGAAGGAAAGAGAAGGGAGAGAGGAGGAAGGAGGAAAAAGGGAGGAAAGAAGGGAATGAAGTTTCTACCCAAAGTATAATACAGTTTTTTTTCAGTTTTTTAAATTTAAAAAAACAGAAATCATAAAGTCATTGTAAGTTTGGATGCATCTGTAGTTTCAGAAAACCCTTGAGCATCAATTACCAACATCCCAGTCCAGCATCACGCTCACCTTTAACATCTATAATCTTAGCTGCTCTGAAGGCTGCAGTTGGAAGCCAGGCTGGGGAAGAAAGTCCATAAAGACTCTTATCCCCAGTAACTACCAAAAATAAAAATAAAAAGCCAGAAGTAGAGCCATGGCTCAAGTGGTAGAGTGAAAAAACTCAGGGATGGTGACCAGGCACTGAGTTCAAGCCCCAGAACCAGCATGCATATACACACACATACACACAAACCTAGTACCAAAGCCGGGTGGCTCAAGCTTGCAAATCTGGCTATTCAGGAGACTGAGAACTAGAGAAACATGGTTCAATGCTAGACTAGGCAGAAGAGCTTGAGTGTCTATCTCTAATGAACCAACAAAAAAAGCCACGCAGAGCAAGAGCTCAAGTCTCTGACTCAAGGCTTGGTACCTAGCCAGGTGGGCACGCACATGCGCAAAACCCATGTGCATGCATGCAACAGCGCTCACAACGCATGGCGGGCAGCACCCGAGTCTTCCCCTTGCTGGGTCCCTGGGTTGTATGGCCAGCCGTGCATGGACGGCCATATGCTCCGTGGAGGGTTTGTTTCCAGCCAAAAACCACACATTGAGGTGACACCTACTCCCCAGGAAGGCCAGCAGAGGGGTTCCAGTTACCAGGGCACGCAGGGAGGGGTGGTCCAGGCCCAGCGAGGACTCCAATAGAGGCCGAGCCTCCATCTGGCGCTTGTTGGGTTCCCCTAGGAAGGGGCTGCACCAATGTGGGCGTCCCAAGCCGGGTGGGCTCCAGAGCCAGGTTCAAGGCCAGGCAGGCAGCCCTCTCCTGGGTGATTAGGCCTCTCAGGTGGACTCGGGTGGGCAGTACCCACGGGGGGGGGGGGAGGGGCCACAGGGCTCCAGGTGGCCCACCAAGCACACAGCCACAGCCAGGGGTTCAGGAGGCCACTGTGCCATGTCAGGGAGACCTCGCTGCGGGCCCCTGGGTACAGCAATGGCCTCCTCCTCATCCCTCCTGGAATAAGCCAGGACTGATTTTGCTGATTTGTTTTACCTTTTCTGAAGTTGCTTAAATTCTGAAGTGCTTGCTAGGCAGGCGCTCAACCCTTTAAGTCACTCATCCAATGCTTTTCTTTGCTTTAAGGTTTTTTCCAGATAGGTTTGCTTTGGGCTGAGGACCAGCATGGACTGTAATCCTGCTGATGGCCTCCTGGGGGCTGGGCTAACAGGTATCACTGCCACACCCGGCTTGTTGATTGAGATGGGGTGGGGGTGGGGGGGTCTTGCTAACTTTTTGCCTGGGCAAGCTTCATATTTTTTCATCCTCCCGAAATCCACCAAGCCATTTTTCACTAATTGGGATTACAGTTGTGAGCCACTGCACCCAGCCAAAGTTCTGCCTTCCCCTGCCCTTCCTCCCCCGACCTCTTCAGTATTGGGGATGGAGTCCAGAGCCTTGCACAGGCTAGGCAAGTACCCTGAACCCCAAAGCCCCACTCAGGAAGGCCAGACAGCAGCCTAGGACTTGGAAGGCCTGCTTAGATCAGGCCACTTAGCTCTGGCAAGGTTCCTGAAAACCATCTCCATTATTCCCGGACAAGGCCGCAGTTGCTTGGCTTGCCACCCGGACAAGAGAAAGGCGCCACCTTACTTGCCACATAGCTGGGGGGGGGGGAGTGTCAGAGGGCCAGCCCAGAGGCCCTGCCACCCAGCCACAAGCCACCACCTACCTCTCACTTACCTGGCCGAGAGCTGCTGCCTCTCACTCCTGGGTCAGCTTTAAATGTCCTCCGGGCCCGCAGGTGTTTTCCCAGACTAGCTGGCCTCCTCTCACCCACATTAGGATCACGTGGAGCACTGGGGCTGGAGTTGGGGGAGGGAGGGAAGCCCCTTCCCCACCACCTCTGCCTGCCTCCCAAGTGATACTCAGGTCCAGCTGGAGGCCTGCAGCCTTCAGCCTCCACAGCTGTAGCTTTTTTGAGGCCCGTTTCCGCCTGGCGATCTCAGGCTCCTGAGATGTACTTGGGTGGAGCGATTCCCTTCCTAAAATCGCAGGGTATACTTCCAGCTGCCTCTGATGACACTAAGCATCAGCTCCCCGCTGCTTCACCAACCACCAGACTCTGGCTTCTCAGATTTCCTCACTTTCCCAGCCTCAGGGCCTTTGCACCTGTGAGGAAGCAAGAAGAATCAGGTGGTTAAAAAAAAGTGGGGGAGGTGGTAATGAGAATCAGTTTGCTTGCTTCCAATAGAAACGGAAATAACAACATGTCAGGCGTACGTTTAACAGAGTCTGAGTACCCACATAAAGCAAATGAAAGACCAATGTACCTACCTTCCCAAATAGCAGCAGAGGTAAACCCTCCCTGCCAAGTGCAGGGCTTGGGGGAGGAGCAATAGCTCCAGGCAAGGCCTCAGTCCTAGGACAGTGTTGCCATAGGAACAGAGGGGGTAAGATGGCTTGTGTACCGGGGGAGGGAGGGATGGGACACCACAGCGGATGAGACCATCAGGGACTGCTGAACCTAGAGGGGATTTGATTCTGTAGTGCTGGGTACAGAATTTGGGCCTAATGCTTGCTTCACAAGGGCTCTACCATTTAGCCTCTCTCTACTGGGCAGGTTTTTCTTTTTGCTGGTACTGGGGTTTGAACTCAGGGTCTCAAGCTTGCTTGCTTGCTTGGCTGGTGCTTGAGCCACACCTCCCTCCCTACTTCTTTTTGATGGTTATCTGGAGATCAAGTCTGGGGAACTGAGATCCTCCAGATCTCAGGTTCCCGTAGCTGGGATCAAGCCCCCAGCTCTATACCAGCTCTACAGGGGACTTGAATTCAGTACTAAGCCAACTCAAGGTAGGTTTTCTTCATTAACCTCTTGATGGAAGAATTCTTTTTCAATTTGGTTTGTGCTGACGACACTGGGGGTTGAACCTGGGGCCTTGTACTGGCTAGCAGGTACTTTACCACTTGAGCCACGCCTCCAGCTCCTTTTTGTCTTAACTACTTTCCAGGTAGGGTCTCGCTTTCAGAGAACAACACACAGATGACCTTCTTCCACATCTCTCCCCCTTTCTCCTCAAAGAGCCATGGCTGCTTTGGCAGGTGTCCTTGCAAGGCAATTCCCCAGGTAATGTGGGAGGGGCCCTGTACATATTTGAGCCTGATGACAGCCCTTGGCAGTGCTGGGCCCCTCCCCCGCCCAGGTGAGGCCCTGGATGCCCCACCCACCCCAGCCTGCTACTCCTGACCTCGATGCCCACCACGCCTTGCTGTGCTCCAGATGCCTGGCTTCCTCACTATCTCTCAGGCACATCAGACTCACATCCACCACAGGGCCTTTGCACCTGCTTGCACCTGATCCCTAGTACAGGCTTCCTCCCCTACTTCCATCAGGGTTCAGTTCAAATGCTGTTAGAGAAGTGGAGATGTGGCT